TAAGCTGATGTAGGTAAGTCATAGAACAGGGGTGTCAAACTCAAGGCCAGGGCCAAATCTGGCCCGTGCTTATATCTGCCCTAGAAACAGCAAAGGACCAGCCCGCAGCGCCTCTGCCAGCAAAAGCAGAGCTCGGGAGGGCTGCATGCAGCCCTCCGAGCTCCGTTTTCACTGGCGGAGGGTTGCAGGAAGCTGGTGCAGCCGAAAACAGAGCTTGGGAGCCTGTTTTCACTGGCAGAGAGCTTGGGCTACCACAGGGGCCCCCAACATGAGTTATGCAAAGCTGGCCATGCCCACCCCGGGCCTCATCCACCCAGGCCCCCCGAGGTCAAACACAACCCTGATGCAGCCCTCAATGAAATCGAGTTTGACACCCCTGTCATAGAACAATGGTAACTTGGTAATGGTAACAATGGTAACTATAGAACAATGGTAACAGTAGATGGCACTGAGTTTATTCACTCATCATAAACTAGCTCATCTTGCTCTCTTTCTCTCCCTTAAATAATAAAACATTTATTCTTTCCCTTTCTTCTTTCTCTTGCTGTCTCCAGGATTTCCTGAAGTATTATAGCAAAGCTGGGAAGGACACAGAACAGCTGGAGGTAGGAGTTGAAACCAATGGGAGCTATAATAGAGCCGCTGTTCCTATGTAATGATCTTGATAGTACACTATTGCTTTTGAACAAAGAATTACAGTCACATGGGTCAATTTGGGATATCACGTGGGTCGGTTAGAATACCACCCAGCATTTACATGTTTGACAGGGAAGATTGGCAGATGGGGAATCCATATCCTATGTCAGTTATTGCACATTTGATGCACAGTATCTTCAGATCTCAGGCCAGTAAAGCCTTCTATATGATTAGCAGATCTTATTTTGTGATTCCCCCCCCCCCTCACTTTACCCTCGCCTTTGTAGTTTAAGATGTGGAATAAAAGGTTAACAGCTTTATTAAAACTCACTGATAATCCCTGAAATTGATATTTCCAGAGGCATCAGGCTTGGCGAATCCAGTGCATCTTTTCTAGCATCATTCTCTACATTTGAATTTCAGAAAGCTGTAGATGTTATGTGCTTTGTTCCCAAACGCTGCAATGACATGATGAATGTGGGACGTCTTCAAGGCTTTGAGGTAAATTTTGAGGATTGATTGGACATTCTTAGCTCTGATTTTTCTGATTAACTGGCTCAGTGTTGAAGCAATTCTCTTTTTCCACTCACCCCTCCGACCCTCTATCATCACTTCAGTCTTACAGTGATAGGAAGGTTGTATATATTCAAGGAGGGGTTTTAACTCCTTATTTCTGAAGGATCTCAACTTCTGTACAGATTTACTTGGGAATGCAAGCTTAAAATATAGGATATTACGGGGAAGGGAAGGGGAGTGGAGGGCAAGATTTAGAAGCATTTTGGTCAGAAGGAAGATTTAAGACAGATGTTTTGAAAAGACTGGTGGTGCAGTTGTTGAAACTAGCACTTTAACTAAAGCAGCATGCGTGAATGCTGTCCCAAGCTACATTTTAGAAAATTTTTGACAAGGAAAGCTACCATTTTGGTGGGGAAAAAAACTTTGACATAGAGCAGTACTATAAGGAAGTGCTAGACCATACTAACATTGAGCTCTCATAGTAGAGTAATTTGTTGTCATTTAGACAGTTGGATAAATTGCAGTTTACTTTTTTTTTTCTTTAGGGGAAGCTGACTTCACAAGGGAAGCTGCTGCAGCAGAACACTTTTTGGGTGATGGAGCAGGCAGGCGGGATCCTGGCCCGGGCTCGTGAGCGCCGCATTTTTCTCTTTGAGCAAATTCTCATCCTAAGTGAGACCCTGGAGCGGAGGCGTGGTCCATATGCTGCCCCAACATATGCCTTTAAGAGCAGCATCAAGGTATTCCAGAGTTAATAGTGGGGAATTAAACTTCTGGAATTTACTCATAAAAGACTTTACAATGGAAATGTGCCATATCCAAAGTTGGGTGCTCCATCTTTCTGCCTTGTGCGTTCGTATACCATACTACCACATAGTAAATTTGATATTATCTTGTATGTATGCAGTTATCTGGACTTATGGCTGCAATTTGAGAATATGTGTGCAACAATAAATAGAACTTATGGAGTAAACAGTGCAGCAAATCTAATGGAAAAAAATTAATATTTGTTTGATTTCCATGCCTTATGCCATAGCTGTCAAACCTGCGGTCCCTGGGCTGGATACGTCACATGCTGGCCATGCCTATGCCTGGTTTAGTGAAGGGGGGGGGGAGTCGCATTCTGTCATGTGACAAAGCTGTGACGAGAGTTTGACTCCCCTGCCTTACGCCAATCAATGAATGCAATTTCTGTTTGCATCAGGTTACAATCTTATAACCGGAAAGTCATACAATTTCTGTATGGGCAGCCAAAAAATAAAAAGATGCTGAGGTTGTAATACAGTACTTTAAACCCTTGCAATATATCACTGTATGGCACGTGTTTTATGTTTTATGAATTGGAATAAGCTACTGTAAGTCTAAATCAGTGGTAGTCAACCTGGTCCCTACCGCCCACTAGTGGGCG